CAGATCAGGAATGAGAGACAGTAAGGGAGCCACGCTCTGAGCTGCTTAGGCAGAGGAGGGCCTCAGCCCCAGGGCAGACAGCAGGCGGGAGGATGCGAGACAGGGGAGCACAGGAAGGCCTGCTGGGAGCTCTAAGGGGGAGCACGGCAGACCCTCAGATGCCAGGCCAGCCTGGCCCCGGGCGCTGTCCCTCACTGCTCCCTCTGCCCCCAGGTGGCATTCTGTCATCGTGGACGGACACAGCGTGGAGGAGCTGTGCAAAGCCTTCGGCCAGGCCAAGCACCAGCCGACGGCCATCATCGCCAAGACCTTCAAGGGCCGAGGGATCGCGGGTGAGTGCGCGAGCCTCCCTTCTGCCCCACCTGGCAGGCCCTGTGGCGGGCCAGGGCTGCTGGTCTGGGCCGCGCAGCTCCGAGATATCCCATCTGGGAAGCACCCAGAGTCTGGGTTCCTCGAGGTGACCCAGTGGTCAGCGTGGCTGAGCCGGAATTTGGACCAGGTCGGTCTGGTCTGTGCTGAGGGGCAAGTACAGGCAGGAGAGAGGGGAGGAAGGACTTGGGGAGGGGCTGTGAGTGGGGAAGGGTACCGAGTGAGGGGTCCCTGAATCCCTGCACCACCCCAGCTGTATGCCCTGAGTTGAGTGGGTGGCCTTGAGGTCCAGGAGAGCCTGGGAGACCTGGGTTCTCTCCTAGGAGATGATCAGGGACGCCCCAATAACAGAGAGTGCTTGACTGAGGCCTGTGAGCCACGTAGGCATATCCACCCCTGCATCCATGTGGGCTCTGCCCTCAGCCTGGGATGGCCTCATCTAGTTTCAAGATGGGACAATAGGATTAGAAGGGGTTAGGGGACAGAGGGAGCCTGTGGCACTGGGGGCCCTGCCTCACTACCCTATACCCTGGCCACCCACCTGCCTGCCCACCAGGGATCCTGGCTCCCCATACTGGTCTGGACTTGGGTACAGGAGGTCACTCACCCTTGTACCTGCTGTCTGAAGGGTGCTGCGGTGACACTGTGAACCTTGTGGGAGAGGTGGCACCGAGGATGGGACCCTGGGGTGTTGTCATGGCCTCAGGGCCGTCTCCTGACACAGACCCTTCAGTGGACTGTCAGGTGGGATCAGGAAACCTTGAAGTGTGTAGGAGCCTCCTGGTAGTCTGGGGCTGCCGGCCTCTGCCGGGCTGCGGTAGCATCTGAGTGGCCACAAGGAGAGGGACGTTACGGCTCGGGCAGTGGGCACACCTCGTAAACCCCACCCTGCTGCTCACGGATATGTCAAGTGACCTTGGCAACACTGCCCCGTTCTGGCCTTTGCCCTCCTAACTGCCAGGGTACCTCCAGGGCCAGCTGACAGATGGCCTGGATTTCCACAGCAGGCCTTTCTGGGCAGACTCAGACCACGGGGCAGAGATGCGGGGAAAGGGTTTGGGGTGGTGTGTCCAGTCACACACAGGTGCCCCCACCCTCTTCCCGCCCGGCAGTGAGCTCCTGGAGGACCTGGAGGTGGTCACCGAGTTCTGCCAAACAGCTGTCCTCCAGGGAGACTCCTGGCCTGCCCACGGCAGGTGGGGGTCTGGGCCTTGAGAGCAGCTTCCCTGACCCCTCTGCCCGTCTGTGCTCTGCAGGGGTAGAGGACAAGGAGTCCTGGCACGGGAAGCCCCTCCCCAAAAACATGGCGGATCAGGTCATCCAGGAGATCTATAGCCAAATCCAGAGCAAAAAGAAGATCATGGCTACACCCCCGCAGGAGGACGCCCCCTCGGTGGACATCAGCAATATCCGCATGCCCACCCCACCCAGCTACAAAGTCGGGGACAAGGTACCAAGTGGGGCCTCACTCTCTTAAGGGCCAAGATGTGCCGTCTGGGGGGCTGAGGGAGCGGGGAGAGAGAGAAGTTCAGGGCCAAGAGGGAACTCAGGTATGGCTGCTGTTAGCTCCTTCATGGCGGTAGTTAGCTCCCAAATTATTTACCTGCAGAGGCCCAGAGAGGGCAAGAGGCTTGCCTATGGCCACACAGCAAGTTCCTGGCAGAGCCAGGATCCAAGCCCAGAGCTCAGGACGCTCAAGTGGGCTGACAGGTGAGGCAGTGCCGTCTCACCCCAGGGTCTGCCCAGTGACACAGCCTGCATCAGGCCAACTGCCAAGCCCGCAGTACCCCGTGCAGAGCAGGGCAGTCCACCGATCTGTCGCAGGGTGAGGAGCTGAGTTCATCAGGGCTTCAGCTCAGGGCTGGGGCAAGACAAGGAGCTCCAGGGATGCTCGCGTTGTTCACCGTGGACTTGGACAGCCTTGCGGGAGTCCGTTTCCACAGACTTCCTGCCCCTGGTTTTACCCTTCTTCACCCTAGAAGCCATGGCCCAGGAAGGAGATAGGCAGGGCTCCAAGTGCAGCCATGGACACGCCTCAGTGGTCCTGAGCCACCCACTCACCTCCCCACAGATAGCCACCCGGAAGGCCTACGGGCAGGCCCTAGCCAAGCTGGGCCACAGCAGTGACCGCATCATTGCCCTGGATGGGGACACCAAGAATTCCACCTTCTCGGAGCTCTTCAAAAAGGAGCACCCAGACCGCTTCATCGAGTGCTACATTGCTGAGCAGAACATGGTGTGTGCTGGGATCGGGGGGCGGAGGACGATGCATGCATGCCCGAAGCCCTCCTGCTCCTCTGGGTGACCATGTTGGCAGTGCCAGGTGTGGGCCAGCCAAGGAGACCACAGGCACAGCTGGGACCCAGCACTGGGCCTTGATCTTGAGTAGCTACTCTGTGTGTGTGGGGGGGTGCCGTGCCCACGTGGAGCTGCGCAGGGTCGAGCTTGCAACGGGTGCTAACCAGGGCTGGAGGTGCACACAGGAGGGCCCGGATGGAGGCCAGATTTGGGGCCTGGAGCGTCAGCAGCCTAAGGAGGGTTGGAGAGGGTTACCTGTAGGGTCTTGGGACTGGCGAGGTTGGGGAAGGGTTGTTCTAAAGTCCGGAAGGACAGACTGTGCACAAGCTTTAGCCTTCTCTCTGAACAGGTTTGCTTGTTGCTAGAAAAAAACCTTCCAAAGGAAAATAATTTTAAGGGAGCCTTTTTATGCCAGAGGGAACGTGCTTGCCAAAGAGAAATAGAAAGGACCTCTCGATGTGGCATGGTCGGGCCAGTCCCTTCTCCATTTCTCCATCTTGTCAGGACTTGGGGCACACATGCATGTATACGTGCCTGGCATGCTTTTCAAGCCACTCGGGCCACTATTCACACTGCAGCAAGCCATGAGGCCCGGTTTTCCTAACCACTGGGGTATTGGGCCAGCCCAAGGAACTTTTTTTAATTTTTTTTTTCTTTGCCGTACAACACATGTGCTCACTGAATTTTTTAAGTTTCTTTGCCGTACAACACATGTGCTCACTGAAGAGAGACAGAAACAGTGAGAGGAAAGTGAGGACTCATCCCCCCTGGGGGATGACCATACCACAGACCCTTCTCCATTCTCCTCCTGGGATTTTGGGCATGCACACATATGCATCCAGTGTGATTTTTAGGCTGGCAGGCCCAGGACTCACACCATGGTCAGCCATGTGGGAGTCCAGAGCCTTTATCACCATGCCACCTGCTGGACCCCCGCTCCCCTGCCAAGATAACTTTTTTTGTTTTGTTTTGTTTTGGAGAGGTTTTTGCTATAGGGAGTGTGCACTTGCCCAAAGAAGGACAGAAAGAGACAGAGAGACAGAAAGTGAGAAATCACCCCCCCAGGGGGGATGGCCATGCCACAATCCCTTCTCCATTCTCCTTTTGGGATCCTGGGCGCATATGCACACATGGGGGGCGTGAGTTTAAGCCACCAGGTCGAACCGCGATCGACCACAAGGGAGTCCAGTGACATAGTCATTACACTAACTGCTGGTCCCTCACCAAGAGAACTTTCAAAATAGTTATTTCAAATCAGTGGAGCCTGGTGTTTGGAAATGGCTGCAGTTTGTGGGTGCACAGTTGTCACGTAGGAGGAGGAAGAGGAAAAACAGAACTGAGACTGCAGGGTGCTCGCACCCGAGAGGTGGCTGCACGGGTCCTGGGCCCCCTGCCATCCTCTGCCTGCCCCTGCAGGGCTGACCCTGCCCTCCCTGCCCCCAGGTGAGCATCGCCGTGGGCTGTGCCACGCGCGACAGGACGGTGCCCTTCTGCAGCACCTTCGCAGCCTTCTTCACGCGGGCCTTCGACCAGATCCGCATGGCGGCCATCTCCGAGAGCAACATCAACCTCTGCGGCTCCCACTGCGGCGTGTCCATTGGTGAGTTCGGCCAGGACATTGGGCCTCATGACCTCCCTCGAACTTGGACCAGGAGGTCCAGATGGGGGTTGGGCCTGGACCAGCCCGTGGGTGGGGCTTTATTTCAGCTTCTTTCTCACACCCCAGGGGAGGACGGGCCCTCTCAGATGGCCCTGGAAGACCTGGCCATGTTTCGGTCAGTGCCCATGTCAACCGTCTTTTACCCAAGCGATGGTGTTGCCACGGAGAAGGCAGTGGAGTTAGCAGCCAACACGAAGGTTGGTCACAGGGCCATTCATTTTCGTAGTGGGGTCCAGGGAGGAGGCCATTACAGGTGTGCAGGCTGCTCACGTGCTGGCCTGGTGCCTGCCCTTGCCCATGGTGCTCGTGTAGCTTGAGGAAGTTAGACCAAGAGAAGGGAAGCACACACCTCCCCCACTGCCACGTGGCAGGCATTGCCAGCTGACCGTGCAGCCGCTGCCAGTCTGCCAGTTGACACCTATAGCCCTCCCTGGGTCGGGTTCTTCAAGACAGAAGAATGAGCTGAGCTGCCCAGTCTGGGACCGCACTGTCATAGACAGGTGTCTGGTGGTCCCCATCCTCTGCCGGAGGCCAGGGGCCTGGCCAACACACTGGAGGCTAGGCTGCCAGTGGAGTTTGCTGTCATCTGGGGCTGACCGCATCGGACAGCACTCAGGAATGTATGGGGAGGTGCAGGCCGCAGTGGGCAAGCCAGACCTCCCTGCTAGGCTGGCCGGGATGTGGAGACAGACACATGCCCCCATCAGGGGGACAGGGTTGCATATGGGAATGGGGGGCCTGTTTAGAAAGATCACTCTCAGGCCCGGGGTGTCACAGCCTGTAGTCCTCAGTTTATCTGCTCTGTTCCCAGGGGATCTGCTTCATCCGTACCAGCCGCCCTGAAAACGCCATCATCTATAGCAACAACGAGGACTTCCAGGTCGGCCAAGCCAAGGTCAGTGACACCCTCAGAGCGAGCCCAAGCCCTCCCTGCTGCAGCCCCCAGTCCCTGAACCTCGCCAGCCCCATGTCGCCCTCAGGTGGTCATGAAGAGCAAGGATGACCAGGTGACCGTGATTGGCGCTGGGGTGACCCTGCACGAGGCCTTGGCTGCTGCAGACCTGCTGAAGAAAGGTGAGGAGGAAGGGCCTGAGAAATCATGGATGGAGTGCTGCCGGCTCCCATCTAGTGGGTCATCAGGAAAGCCGTGACACGCTTTTACGTAGAAACATGGAAAACCATGCCATGACTTTCCCAACCTAATAATTAAGTGATGTTAGCTATGAAAGCTCGCTTGAAAATTCGCTCCAGGCCTGTCACAGCCCTGAGTCCTCGAGCTACAGTGGTCAGCTCAGAGACCTGGAGCCCACTGGTGGGACTGCAGTCCGGGCTAGTGGGCGCAGTTCAGAAAGGTGCTCATCGCTGTGCCTGGTTCCCCATCTGTAAGACGGGGAGCTAACCTTCCCCGTGGGCTGTCCTGGGGGTTCATAATGTACCTTGGTTTATCATGTGCTCCTGATCAGCTGCGATACTAGATTAGGCAGGCAGCAGCCTCACTGCAGAAAGTCACAGAACCGATGTCACATTACACAGGAGGCAGGTGTGACATCCTTAGGGATGTGACCTCAGGGAGCAGGAATTGATAAGTGCAGGGGAGCGGTGTGTGTAGAGCTCAGAGAAGCTGGGGAGAGGAGCCTGAGCAAGAGCAAGGTGGGGCTGCTGACCAGGCGAGGGGAGCTGGGTGGGGGGCTGTGAGCAGGGCCAGCCTGAAATCGTCCTGAGGAGGTCATGCTGTGGGGTCCTCGCCTGACCACCTGACACCCTCCTTGCCTCAGGTCAGACACCTGGAGCCCGGGGAGCAAGGATGCTGGAGGGGGTTGGCAGGCATGAGCTCAACAATGGGGACCACTGATTGTCCCCAGAGCAGGAACTGCCCCCAGGACATCCCCTCACCCTGGGGTCTATCAAAGGCCCACAACAGGGCTGAGCTCGCTGAGCTATGTCTCCTCCCCGCCCCCAGACAAGATCAACATCCGCATACTGGACCCCTTCACTATCAAACCCCTGGACAGGAAGCTCATTCTGGACAGCGCCCGTGCTACCAAGGGCCGGATCCTCACGGTGGAGGACCACTACTATGAAGGTACTGGGGCCGGGGCCAGGGAGAAGGGGCACAGAGGGGCCAAGGCCTAACGTTCATCCTTCATGTGAGCCCCAGAAGGGCAGCTCCGGAAACCCAGAGCCTGCCTTCAGAGCAGCTCAGAGCAGGCCTCCTAGTAGACCTTGGGCTCAGCCTGGTGACCCAGCCACCTCCTAGCCCGGCTCTGTGGTCCCTACCACCCAGAAAGTGGTGCCAGCCTGCTGTCGAGAGAAGAAGGGTTGGACTATGTCCTTGGGTGGTTTAAGGTTTAGCTGCTGTGCAGAATCAGACTTGGAAAGCCCTCTGCCTTGTGAGCCCTTCACAGAGCAGCCTCCAGGGGTACCTTCTACCCCCTCAAGGAGGCCCAGGGGAAGAGGCAGGCTCAGCCTCTGTGGTCAAGGGCAGATTGTCTATTATGAGGGCTGCCCAGACAGTGGGGCTGCATGATTCAGAGGCCATGTTGGGGCTTATGAAATACTCAGTGCTGCGATTGATTCATGACGTCTGCTCTGGCTGTGGCGGTAGAGAAGCGGGTGCCTGTGATTGTTGCCATCCTTGGCTGATTGTTGCCAACCTCAGACTGACCAAGGGCTGGGACCTGCCCCTGAGTGAGGCCTCATCACCCAACCCACCTCCCTTCTTTTGCCCAGGTGGCATAGGTGAGGCAGTGTCTGCTGCAGTAGTGGGTGAGCCTGGTGTCACCGTCACCCGCCTGGCTGTCGGTCAGGTTCCAAGAAGCGGGAAGCCGGCCGAGCTGCTGAAGATGTTCGGCATTGACAAGGATGCCATCGCGCAAGCTGTGAGGGGCCTCGTCACCAAGGCCTAGGGAGGGTGTGGTGTGCAGGGCAGGGGTTCGACACATTCCTGAGAAGCTGGCAAAGGTGCTCAAAGATGAAATGCGAGGAGTGGCAAATATATGTTTTAAGAAAAGCGAAGCAGCCCTGGAATGTTTCATTTTTGACGTGGATGTAACTACCCATGCTGGCTTGGGAGAAGAGGGAGGCTGGTGCCCTGGCTTGGGGCCAGGTCTCGGGCATGCTGAGGCTCTGTGGATCCCCACCCCTGAGCCCAGCTCCTGTTGTCTCCCCACAGCCTGCCTTCCAGAATGAGACTAACACTTCCCCGCTGCCTGCCTTTCTGTACAAGCCTAGAGCCCAAATCTGCCTCGACCTCAACCTGCCAGGCAATGGGGGAGGCACTTCACGGTCTGGAAACTATCCAGGGCCCCTCAGGGCCACCTCCCCTCTTCCTCATAGCCTTGCCGTTAAGGCCTCTGGGGTGGGAGGGTCATATGCTCGTTGTTGCCCCACCTACTCATACCCTTTTCTCTTTTTTCAAAGAATTACTTATTTAACTTTATTCATTTTTTTTTAATATTTGACTAGAGAGATGCACGGGAAGGGGGGAGTGAGAAAGCAAGCCACCAGGTTCAGGCCTTGAACTGTGGTCGACCACGTGGGAGTGTCCAGCATCTTAACCACCATGCCACATGCTGTTCCCCCTTTACCCTCTTAACGAGTAACCAGAGGCAGAAGGAAGCTGGGGCCCCGACTTGGGGAAGGGGCTCCTTGGATTGGCACTGGCCACAGGACAGACAGAGAAGTCCAGCTCCCAGCCAACACCACTTACCAGACAGTTGCAGGCTCTGGCTCCATCAGCTCTTAGGATGCAGGTTCCCAGGCCTTGCTACGGGGGCCTGGGACTCTGCATTTGAGAGCTGCCTGGAGGCTGCTGCTGTCACGTGGAGAGCTGTGCAGGTCCCTCCAGCCATCCCTGCCCTGCTGCTGTGTGGTCACCTCACTCTGAGCCCCTCAGCTGCTGGCCTAAGGGGGGCGGGCCTGCTGGTGAGGCCAATAGTATTGAGACGTGTACCGGCCATGGACAGACTAACGGAAACAAGAGGGCTCAGCACTCCTGGCCACAGAGGCGGTTCCCAGGAAATCCTCAGGTCTGTGTCCATTTGTCCACCAGACCACCTGGACGGTGACAGTGCTGTCCAGTCCACCGGGCTGCTCTCCCCAGGGTTGGCTGGGCCGGGGCTCTGTGTGCTTCATTTTTTGATGCGTGCCAATTTCAGAGGGAGCAGGTCTAGGTGACACAGAGCTTAGGGAGGTGACTAGGCCTTCTCAGCCTGCAGCACTAGCTGGAGGCCATGTCTATACTATTTTATCTTTCAAGAATTATTTCATTAAAAAAAAAACTTTAATTTAATTTATTATTTTTTTTAACTTGCTATAGGGCATGCATGCTTACCAGAGAGACAGAAAGGGAGAGAGTGAGAAAGCTAACCACCTGGCCCTGTAGGAAAACTGCCACAGGGAAGAAGCGAAAGAAAGCAGGCTAGCCTTCGCTTCCCACCTAGGATGAACGAGGTGGGTGGGGTAGGCCTCACCAGCCAGGAGTTCTGGGCCCTGATCTGAGCATGCTGCCTTATCCAAAATAAGAGAAAACCATGACACTGTCAAGTCAGGAACTCCCTGTGCTGGGGAGCTGGGTTAGCACCACCTGGTGGTCATCTGAAGGCTCTGCAGGGCTGTGTGAGGGTGGGAGGGGACCGTGGTCAGCAGAGGGCGCAGCCGGTCTGGAGCACTGAGGAGCAGCGAGGTGACACTGCCGAGCACCTCCTGCAAGCCAGTGCTCTATGCTGACATTTTAACTAATCCTCCCCTGCAGCATCACCCCCATTTTATAGATGAGATAACAGGCTCAGAGGAGAAACCGCTTACCTGGGGAATGAGGGTCAGAGCTGGAGTTGAACCCAGCCTCTGCAGCCTACTGCCCCCAGGGACCCCCAAAGGTCGAGTAATGCAGAGGTTCCCATGAAGAAGGGCCCTGGGGGTCAGCAAAGTGGTTGGGATCTCTGGAGCCTGCAGGCCCATGCAGAGAGGTTTCTAGAAGCAAATGGTGGGGCAAGGGCCCCCGAGCCAATGGGCACAGGTTGGCTGAGCCTGGCTCCACTGTCTAGGACTCAGACAGCCCTGGCTGATTCCAGGCAAAGAGATGGGAGGGGCAGCCACCCTCATCCTCAGCCTGCCCAGCCTCTCCAAGGCCACACAGCTTGGGAAGGGGATAAGAACCTGGACAGGGTGAGGGGTAAGAGTCCCAGGGGGCGTGGCAAGACTCTCGAGACTGCTGACTCAGTCCTGGGACATGTAGGGGTCCTGGAGCCCTGGTGAGCCCTGAAACTGCTTCCTCCAGCTAAGGAGACAGTGGGGCATGCCTGGTGCAGACTTTGCTGGAAGCCCAGGGTCACTGGGCCCTGATGAGCACCTGAAGAACCTGTCACTCAGCCTCAGCCCCTGGCCAGGAGGACAAGAGGCCAGAGCGGAGCCTGAGGCATCCTGCTTCCTTAGCTGGATTGGAGGCAGGTGTCGCCTCATCTGTCTGCCAGGAAGCCTGGCCGGCCTCCTGTCCCAGCAACGAAGTAGGACAGCATGTTCTGAGGAGGCCCAGGTTGTAGGTGCTGGCCCTGCGGCAGCCTCAGATCAGACTTCCCTGGTCCTCAGAAAGTTTTCCCAGCCCAGTTGGCAGAGCTGGGAGGCCAGAGGCCATCACGCAGCCATGAGCCGGGACAGGGCTGCAGGGAGGAGGAGTGTATTGCTGACCCGTCCGTCCCCAACCGTCCCAAACCGCTCAAGTGGAGGATGCTGCTGGCTGAACCCGACAGAGGGCCAGGCAGGGGGCTGCAGAGCTGGAGGCCCCAGACCCAAGCACTGACAGCTGGGTCTACGCCCTCCTCCACTGCCCTCCACTTAGCACATGAGGAGTGTCATCTCCCCCAAACCTGTGTCCCCGCCTGGTAAGTGGAATGACGGGCCGAGAGTGAAGTAAAGATGCTGTTAATACCCTTAGGACATTGCCAGACAAAAGACCCAGGACACGGTGAGATTTGTCACCGCTCACAGGCAAGGGCACGTGGCAGGCAAGTGACCTCTAGCCCCATGCTCTGTGCAACTGCAGACCCCCAGGGAGCTCAGGCTACTGCCCAGCAGGTCAGGCCCAGCACGTGGGTCGTTGCCAGCACACTTGGCATGTGTCTTGGTCATGATCGTCTTTACTGCAGCCTGGTAGAGTGTTTTGTTTTGTTTTTTGTTTTGTTTTTTTTTTTTTAAAGAGATTTTTGCTATAGGGCAGGTGCACTCACTGGAGAGACCAAAAGCAAGACATCACCCCCCAGGGGGGATGGCCACACTGCAATCCCTTCTCATTCTCCTCGGGATATTGGGCATGCACACATATGTACCCGGCATACTAGGTCCAGGGCTCAAACCACGGTCTACTACATGGGAGTCCAGTGACATGACCGTTATGCTATCTGCTGGTCCCCATGGGGTGGGGGGTTTTTAATCAGTTTGCCGAGATATAATTCCCAAGCCGTGTAGTTCACCTGGAGTACATGATTCAGTGGTTTCTCGGCCATTCGCAGTTGTGCGTGCATTACGGTCAATTCCAGAACAGCTCCACCACCCCCAAAGGAAACCCTGTATCCGTCAGCAGCCACCCACCAGCGGGCCCACACACACCTCTTGCTGTGGAGCTGGGGTCCGTCCCTCCCTTATGCTCCCACCAAAGATCCCTCCTCAGATCTGTGGGGGCAGAGGAAGCATCTGGGTCCCACTACAAAGAAAACCACTTCCCACCTCCAGGCTGCTGTTCTGCCTGGGGGGCTGGGGCTCCCCTGGGGCCTCTGAACCCCTCCTGAAGGGGAAGGAGGTAAGAGGAGAATGGGGACTCAGCAAGTGCTCTGGGTGGGATTAGGAATCAGCACTTGGGGGAATTTGACTTTCTGAACATGTGGGTTGGAAGTATGAATCTGAAAAAAGGGGGCACGGAGGATCAATAGGATGCTGTCCCTACCAGGCTTCTTTCCCCTCAAGCGGCATCTCCTGCCCAACCGTCTACTCCAGAGAAAAAGGCAAGAGGAAGCCAATTCCCCTTCAAGCCGAGTCCTGAGCAGAAAAGCCTGTGGGGCTGCTGGCGGCCGAGTTCAGACCTGGGGTCTGTATTTGTGCTGGTCTGGGTGCCGACTTACTCTTCTCTGTGGGAAGAGGGAGCCCTTTGGTCCAGCCAGCCGGGCAGCGAGAGAAAGAGGAGCCTTCTGGCAGCCCTTCCCTCCCTGCAGACTGGGCAGGGCCTCACTACTTCCTAATGACCCCCTACGCTCCTTCTGCCCTCATCCCAGGCCAGACTTCTACCACCTTCTCCTCGGGGACAGCCCTCCCTGGCCTCCCAGTTGCTTCTGTTTTTTATTTTTAATTTATCTTTATTTTGCCAAAGAGTGTATGTGCTCCCCAGAGTGAGACAGAGAGAGAGGAGGGAGGGTGGGAAAGCACCCCCCAGTTGGGTGTGGTCACACCCAATCCCTTCAATTTCTCCCTCTTTTCGGGATTATGAGCATGTATGCATATGCACCCAGTGTTTTTGAAGCCACCAAGTCAGTCGGGCTCAGACTGTGCAGTCGGCCACATGGGGCCCAGCCTTAACCCCTAGGCCATGGGCTGGCCCCCAGTCACCTTTTAAAAAGTGTAATGTCATGAGAGCAAGCAAAGAGGGCAAGACAGGCACACCCATGGTCTTCACACCATGATCCCCTAGTTGCCTTTTGACCTCCACCCATTCCCCAGCTCATTCTCCACACAGCGGCCTAAGAGAACCTTCCAGAGCCCAACACAGCCACTCTGCTTGAACACTTCACCATCCCTCATGGCTCCCACAAGCCTAAAATCTCTCTAGCCAAAGCCTGGGGGAGCCCTCTTCAAACCATCGTCCCCCCCAGGCCCCAGCCTAGCCCAGCCACTCTCAGTTCCTTAATGGTCTCTCCCACTTCCTCTTCCCCTCCTAGTCTGGGTTGGAGCCTAGGGCCAAGGCAAACAAGTGTCAGTGTGGCAACAGAAGGAAAATGGGACCAGAGAGGAGGAAGAGAGAGCTTGACTGT